TAGCATAATATTCTCCAGATCCATCCATACTGTCCCAAAGGGTACGAGATCCTTCTTTTTTACAGTTGCATAGTATTCCATGGTGTAAATGTTCTACAGCTTTTTATCCACTCATCTATGGATAGGTACTTGGGCTGTTTCTAGATCTTAGCTATTGTAAAGCAATATGCTTATACTTTAAATTCACATTTCTATAATCTAGGAAGCTAGTGGGAAAGCAAGAGGGGTCACTCTCAATGAAAATATTTATTTTGCTAAGAATAGAAGACAATTTTTTGAAATGGATAGATTAATAGATATGATAAAAATACAGTAAATTGTAGAAGGGAGATTATAAATCATTATCCAGGTAAATCTAGGTCTACTTGTAAACTATTTCCTTGGCATAATTCACCATAGAGACAAAATAGTTTTTATCATTGTTGGTCCAAATAATATATATACAGGAATGAGTATCTTTTTAGCACCTGTCAGCTTCTCAAGTAAGAAAGGAAAGTGACATTTTCACCCCAGCTAGTGTGACTCAGTTTGCTGGAGTGTCGTCCCATACACAGAAAGGTTGCAGGTATGATACCGGATCAGTGCACTTGCCCAGGTTTCAGGTTCAATCCCTGGTCAGGGTGCATATGGGAGGCAACTGACTAATAATTCTCTCTCACATCAGTGTTTCTCTGTCACAGCAATGCTTCTCTCCCCCCCCCTCTCAAAAATCAATAAAAACATGTCCACAGGTGGGGGTTAAAAAAAAAAAAAAGACATTTTCTAAGTGATAAATATTAGAAGATGCAAATTAGGTTTAGTCCAAGTTTTTTCTTACTGGCTATGTTTTCTTTCCTTATGGAGATCCAAAATCATCAACTGGTATCCAACTTCCTTTCACTGCCCAGGGTGAAAGAGTGGAAAGTTGTAAATTTGAGATTGACCAAAGAACTTATATGCATGTATGCATAACCCATGAACAGACAATAGTGTAGTGAAGGTCAGGGGAAGGGACAGGAGTGGGGTGGAGGAGGCCAATGAGGGGGAAAGGAGAATATCTATAATATTTTCAGCAATAAAGATAAATTAAAAAAAAATAATAATAAATTTGAATTTTGGGTTCTGCTCAATATTAAGCAAATGCACTCTGTCTTGTTTCTCATCTTCCAACTAAATTAAGAAGGAATGAGAATGGCATATTAATGTCCAAAGCTAGGTTTAGTGCTTTTCTGATCCCATTATCAGCATCACTATCAGAAACACAACAAAGGCCATGCTGTAAAATAAATGTTGGTGCTTACTGAACTTATTTAATGGCATAAATTATGGCTTGACTAAAAAGCATGAAACAAAATACAGACCACATTCTGAGTAGAATTTGTGTTATTTTAATTGATTTATTTGGAATATGTCTCAATTTGTTTAGCTCACTGAGGAAAAACAGTGAGCCATGACAAATGCCAGGAAAATAATACCTTTTTTTCTTCTTCTTTCTTTTTCTGGTCTTTTTCTTTGTTATGCATAAAGTGCTACCATTTTGAAAAAACCAATGTGACAGAGTTCTAAAAATGATTGTGCTAGATAGAACAGATTTTAATACTTTCCCTCTTTGATGTATTTCTGGAGGTCAATCACATTCTTCATCCCTTACTATGGAACATTTAAGGGATAGTACTATTTATCACTTCAATTTATTCCCTATTACTTTTTATTACCCTTTACAGTAAACCATTAACTTTTAATTAGAGACTTTTTTTTCTTTGTTTACCAGGAAGAAAATTGTGTTCTAGGAGGAAAAGGCATTCATAAAATTTGTACACTGTAAATTTCAAATTAATCTTAGTCCATGTTTACTTAGGACAAGAAATATAATAAGTAATTGTGTATTTTTGAGGCTTTATTAGCAATTAGCCAGTGTTCATAATGCTGTCCTGCATTCTCTTTGTAAACAAGGAATGGAACTAGTATTTTTAGTAAGATGGAAAGAATGCTGGAGATGGCTCATGCCATGATTATTTTTACTTATCACTAGGCCGTTGTCCTTCAGCAAATTTTAAAATGTACAGTAACCCTATGTTGGGGAAAAAAAAACACAAATGAGGGAGGGAAAATAAGGGTGAAAGTGAGATCAAAGTACACCATTTCAAAATTCACCAGAAAATAGGTAAGGAAATATGTTCTAATAGTTATTGTAACAGTAACAGCAACACCCTTTTCTTATTTTATTCAGGATGAGTTTACCCCATTTCCTAAATTCAGCAACCACACAGTCATTTTTCTTACAAAGAGGCAATGGATAAACCTAGTCCCATGATAATCCTTGCTGTAATTCCTAGTTGTAATGTTAGAATGTTGTACAAGCAAGATTCATTTGATATTGTTAAAGCATATTTATTTTATTTTATACTATTTCTTTAAACTTTGATGGAAGATTAATAATTAGGCAGTTCTGAGACATTTCTTTTCACTCAAGTGATAGAAATCCCTGAAGTTACTTAGAATGTCTAATTCCTGGTAGAAATCAGAGCTTCAACTTCATTCAAAGTTATACCTAATCCCCTCCTAGCTATGGTCTTCTGGAAGCAAGAACTTGCAGTTTGGTAAGGAAGATTCATTTCTTGTGTCTTTTCTCACTCCTCACCTCTAAGTTTGCTGGATGATTTCTGATCTCAACAGAGTCAAAATGGAGGTAGGAGACTGAGGAGCCAGGTCTGGAAAGCAAAAGGGGCCAGGAAGTTTCTTTCTTAATTAATACTATTGTCAGTTGGCTTTGTGCTTTCTGGGCTTGCCTGATAATTATTAAAACTATTCTGTACACACTATATTAGGGGGATTTACATATTCCAAAATATGTTCCATGCTCTTAAAGTATTGACTTAAAGTATTGATAACCTAATTTGGAAAAGAAAGCGTGATAGCCTAATTAAGAAAATAAGACATCCAATGAAATGAAAGGATCAGATGAGACTATGTTGTTTTGTATCTACCAACATTGCCTAACTATAGGTTTATAAAATAGTGAAGCAACTTAACACTGTCTCGCTACTGCTCCTTCCCCCATTCCTAATACACTCATGAAAGTTCTGTTTCATTTTCCCCCTACCTACTCCCACCCTTTTCTTTTTACCCCTGTGGTCCAAGTTAATGACTTTGATAGTAGATTGCTCCATGATAGAATTTGAATAGGAAGATAGTCATAGTGTGCAGAGAAGCCTAAAAGAGCCAATGTTACCCCAATAAATTCAATTTTTGAAAGTTTCACAAATAAAATTGGAACTCAGTTGGGTTCCAAAAGCTGGAAAAAATTTTCTAGACAGAAGTTAAGGTAGGAACTTTTCAATCAAAGGGAAAATATGGAGACAGGAAGGGGGATGGTGCATTGGTATAACAGTTGAGAAACTGGCTGGTTGGTGCATGAAGTTCCAGTTGGGAAAGAATTTAATTTATTCAGTACAGATTTCATAAAATATGTTCTGGGCACTAGGTTTAGGTGAAAGATATGCAAAGAGTATAAAGGCATGGTCTTTGCCCCTTAGACCTCAAATCTTATGTTGTATCACCCTCACTTTCCTCATCTCAAATTGAAAAGATTGGACTAGATTTTATTTAAGATAATATCCAACTCAAAATATTTTCAGACTTGGGGTTAAAAAAATCAACCAATGAATGTATGTATAACCTATGCCATATTTATAACTTTGCACTTTAAATGTACATAGCAACTTACATATTTACCAGTGATAAAATATGCATATGGTACCAGCACGGTTATGTAGTTTTATCTGTAGATTCTTTCAAGTCATTAAGATTAGAATCTATTTTGTTCTTTAAACATTTATTTTTCTTTGTATTTTATCTAAATTGTCTAAATATGATGAGACACCTCATTTTTTCTAAAAAATAGTTTATTTTCAATATTATTTTGCATTGGTTTCAGGTGTACATCAGAATGGCTGCTCTTTAACCATTTAAATCACTGTGTTTTCTCATGATCCTCTTACCTGAAACCAATGTTAAATGTAATCATTTTACGTATTGCTTGGATAAATTTGAGAATTGCTTTTCTTCCCTTATACTCATCAACAATAAATATTTATGTAGTTCTACTCTGTATTTGAAACTGAGCTAAGTGATAAGGATTCAGAATTATGTATAAGTTACAATTCCCCCCATGAGATTTACTAGTAGATAAGTAGGTTAATGGGCCATTATTTATAACTCTTTCCTTTTATTTAATGTTTTAATTTCCTTCCCTAAACTCTTACTGACATTTTAGAATAAAATTCTGTTGTATCAAAATATTAAAATTCACACAGTTCAAATTTTCTTTAGAGAGTTTACCATATTTAAGGAAAATGACAATATGTTCCCTGACCACATATATATATACAGGATATAAAGAAATTCATGCCTAAAGTGCATTTTGAAATGAATCCACAGTAAATAGATATTTGTGGAAGTCACGATAAGTACTTTTAATATTTACACTGTTTCCCTGTGGTTGCAATTCTGGGAAATAGTTAAACTCTTAGGCTCTTCTGACTTTCCTGAAAGTTCTGTGAATATACAGGGGTGTGCAAAAGTAAGTTTGCAGTTCTGAGTACTCAAAGCACAGAATTTATTCTTGTATTATTATTTATTGATTATTGTATCATTTTCCACATGAACAACTGTAAACATATATGTATAATATATATATAAACATATATATGTATAACCAAATGAACATTCAAAATCTATTACTTCTTTTCACTCATCTGCATGTTGCCTACACCACAATTGAGACTACCTAAAAAATTACACAGTTTTGTACTTTGATGCTAAACACTTGACTCACTCTGCATACAAAAAAATGTACATATTTCATCCTGTTGGTGAATCATGTATATCTTTAATATCTTTTCCTGAATATAAATTTGAATACAAGTACATGAACATTATGGAAATTAAATATTAGAACTGGGTTTATGACGTTGATATTAATGTCATGACTATTTTTCCTTTGTTTTCTTTTTTTCTAGTGCAAGGATATGACTAAAATGTGTCATTATATAATTGCTCTGCCACCTGAACTTACAGGACCAGAAGAGATGCCACCTAGGGTGCAAGTGGTAAGCATTTTTTTAAAAAAGATTTCTCATTGGTATAAAGAATTTAGAAAACATTTGTAAATGTCAATCAAATCCTCTCTAGCACACCAATCATTTATGGGTTTTGGGAGGTTTCCTCCCAGTGTTTCTCAGTGTATACAGTATATAAGATGGTATAGTCACATATTGCAATCCATATAGTCATTATATTAATTTTAAGTGACTATATTATATACCACTGAATTTATATACCATAATTTATTTAATCATTTAATTATTGTTGGATTATTTAGATTGCCACCAGTTTTCAGGTGTTAAAAGTAAAGCTGATATAATTATATTTGTAAGTATAATTATTTTTAACCATTCAAATAATTTCCTTGAATATATTCCTATGATTGTGATGATTGTAGGGACAGCGTGTACCATTATTTTAAGATTATTTGCATTATCAAATTATCTAATGGAAGAATTCTACCAAATTAAATATATTTTCACCAGTATTGAGTTTTATTTCTTTTTCTTATTCCTGTTAGAATTGTAAAACAAAACCTCAGTTTTGTTTTAGTATATATTTAATTGCTTGGACATTTTTCTTATATGCTATATATGTTTCTACTTTTTCTCCATTTCTTTATCTTTATTATTAAAATTATTTTTTTCTAATTTGAAAGTAATAACTGCTCACTATATGAAATGTGGAAAATATAGAAATGCACTTGAATTTTTTAACCATTAACAATATTTGTATATTTTCTTTCAATGTTTCTTCTCTTCATATTTTGCTTATACAATTGTGACATACATATAATATATATACATATATATATAATTTTATCATATGAACATAATTTATTTGATAGCTTCTTTATTGTTGCCATTCAAATTATTTCAAGTTCTTGCTATTACTATTATAGATACTACTTTGATATACATAATTGTGCGTCTTCATGCATAAAGGCTTCTTTTCAAGCTTAGAATTGGAATTACTGGTCCAATGGTTATTAACATTTTTAAGATTTTTACTATAATTAAAAAATTCCTGTCATAAAGGGTTATGTCAGTTTATAGTAGAGATACTAAAGATACTACACCAGCAGCATACATGCATAACCATTTCATTATACTTTTACTATTGAATTATCTAGGTGAAAAAATAGTAATAATCCTGGTCATATTTTATTTCTCTTACAATTAGTGATTAACTTTTCCCATCGTCATATGTATTAGCCATTTTTATTTTCATTTTTGGCTGAATTGCCTGTTCATAATCCTTGTCCATTTGGACACTGGGGTCTTAGTGGTAACTTATGTGCACTTTATATTACTTACACATATATGTTCAAAGTTATTGTAAATATTTTCACACTGCATTGAGATAAGGAATTTTTAAATTCAGAAATGAGCCTGGAGATTACCAGTGAAGTCAGTTGCATAGTTTAAATGCATTATTTTACCCCAATCACAATATGATTGCATTTACCTTAGTATTTATGTGAGTTTCTAGTCCTTTTAAAAAGTAATGTAGTTATGACTTACATCTCCTTAAACAGAGGGAAAATGACTTTCACACTTGCTCCAACAACAAAAATTTTAATATGAAAAAATTTAAAAGCTATTATCTAAAGCTATTAAATGCCATGCTTGTATTTTTAAAATCACTTTTATCTGTTTTCCAGTATTACTTTATTGTTAACATGAAAACATAACAAAGTAGTATTGCAGCAGCACAGAAAACCTAATCTTAGAATAATGATTTAATGAAAGAAAAAAGATAGAGATTTTTAATACAGAATTATTTGGGTTGAAATAGTTAATGACCTGAAAAAAATGGATAAGCTATTACCTTATTGTTCAATTGTATTAAGGATGGGATGTCATTAAACTGTAAACTGCATGCAAAAAGAATGTGAAATTATTGCTAATGATGAAGTACACAAAGTAATTATTTAAAATATTGAATAATAATTTGACTCTCAGTTGTAGAGTCAGATAGAATATTAACCTTATTATGTAAAATATACAAATCCAAAACATGTTAAGAAATAAATTTCCATAAAAGAGGGAGCAAATAAATTGGAGCAATATTAGAAATAGTATAGGATTAATTTTCTTGAAATCCCCACTTTACCACTGATAAACCTACATATAAACGAACAAGTCATATTTCCTCTCTGAACATCAATTTCTATGTAAAATGCCAGGCTCAAGTGAATGACAAATGAGGTCACTTATAACTCTATGAATCTAATGTCATTTCACAGGCCCTATGAATCTAATATGGTTTAACTGGACCACTATTTTATTTCTTCCCATAGTGGCCCCTCAAAGAAATCATAAACTAGTGTTTATATTCTGCCTAGTGATTAATTCCTAACATGGAAATGGATTAAGAATTATTGATTTTCCTCAAAATGTTTGTTTTATAGCTATAGATTTTGATATATTAGGGGGGTGTTAAGAGTTTGAAGGATGTGAAATAAAAGTATCCCAATCTACTATTGCTGAGGCATACTTAATGGAGAGGACCAGGTTTTAAAGAGCCTGAATCTTATATTGTTTGAGGGCCTTTCTTTTAAGAAAATATAAAATTATACACAAATTGAAATTTGGAATGAGGAAAACCACAACAAATTATAAATTTTAAAAATATGACAAATATTACAAACATAAAATACCCTTGGGGCCTTGGAAGAGTCTTGTACAAATGAGAGTCTCTAAAATTTAAGCTTCATTGGCTTCATGGTAAATCTATCTCTGGGGTTAGGCATGGTTTTTTTCCCTTTGCATACTTCTCTCTGGCTCCACTCCTTATCTTTAACAGTTCTTCTAACTCCATAGACACAAGTAACATGAAAGAAGAAAACTACATTGGAGGCCAAAGAATAAATACTATATGCATATGACTTTCATGTCAGCAAAGAATGTACCAAGGTAGTATCCTTCCCTCTTTGAGAGCTTCCTGAATTATTCTTGCTATATTATATTAAACACTGGCCACAAAGTTGCAACCTTTTTGGGATGAGTGAAAAGTTTATGAGATGCTTTCATTCAGATGGCTAAAGGAACATACCCACAAATGTGAACCTATACCAAGCACAATTAGAATAACTAATAATTTTCCCATCTGGGACCATCATTTCATGTCCAGGGAAATGTACTGGCACATCGGCATCATCTCTACCAATATCTTATCACACTCATCTTTCATCTGAGATGCCCAACTACATATGCCTTTTGTGCACTTAGTGTGTGGATAATTATAATCATTGATCTGATCGAGGATTGTGAAGACCAAATAAGTTTTCATTGTAATAGCCTATAAATTCTTTACAATCTAAGATTTGTATTAAATGGTGTGATTTTTCATTCACGATTTCCTCTGTTTTTGACAACCACCCAAAGTATAGTCTTTGCAACATTGCAATGCCATGAGTACTCAATGATACTAGAGTTGATTTTGAGATCTATCATGTTTCAAGAAATTGTGACATCTATGTCAACTCTTGGGTATCAGCAGCAGCAATCCAAAACAAAAATAAAAGACATAAAATTTAATTGTACTTTTGAAATATAATACATAACATTCTAATTCATATATGTAGGTGTAAAACAATACACCTTGTTGAGGAAACTGATTAACAGTAGAAGAAAGTTTCCCAGAATGATCAGATGGCAGAAAAAATTAGCCTTAATTCTTTACAGAAGGATAAATCTAAGAAGTAAAAGCATTTATCTAAATCAATGGAAAGTATATCTAAAATTTTTCTGTTAACATTTAAAAAGTCCAGTAGGCCACTTTACAGGCTTTCAGTTTTAAAATAAATTAATAGTATAATTATTTCTAATTATAAGAAAAGCTAGAACAGAATTTAAAATACATGCCTGTATTTTGAGATATTTAATGGCTACAAGGTATTTTCATGGTAAAAATGGGTCGTCTATAAAGAGGGTTTTGTGTTCCCAAAATATGTCACTAAAGTACATTATGAAAATGTATCATTTAGCTCAAAAAAGTGGCTCTGCCCTTTACCTTGAGAAACAAAGTTTCAGATTCTATCTATTCACATGTGACAATGGGACATAATGAACTATGTTACAAAATTGCCCAGCTTAAATGGTTCATCTCTGCTTGGGATGAAAAGCCTAGAACTACTTGACTGACATCTTGTTTCCATTCAAGTGGCAGGACCTAGGAGATAAAACCAGAAGCCAGCAATTGGACACTAGGTGTGCTGTGTGTACTTAATGGACCTTTATGCAGTAATCCTTTGACCAATAACCCTGCTAGCCTTCTCAGTAGCAGTAGCTAGTCTGGGTGAGATGGCTGTGCTAAATTTTCTTTATCAGGAAAATGCTTTACAATAGCTCAGTTTTAAAGAAGTAAGTACAGACCTGAAACTCAAAAAGTACCTGCCTGCCTATTTGATCCTCTTCTTTCTTCATCTCACTTCTGCCCTCTCTCTCACTTGCTCTAAGTGTGATATGATCACTTACTTGCCTACTCTCAGCTTTCCTCCATGAGCATATATCCCCCAGTCCTTGGAAAGTGGCAGTAAATGCTAATTCTATGAATGAAAATGTAAACGATGTCAATGATGCTAAAAATAAACCCTGGAGGAGACAATTCCATACACCTTGTTCTTTTGAATAAGAAAATATCATTTCAAGTTTAGTATATATTATTCAATTTTTTAAAATCTGCATGTTTATAAATAGCCAATATTTATACCACCTCATAGTATATTTTTACATCTATTGTTTCTTTTGAAATGCATACTATCATCTCATGTGATCCTTAAGATGAGTCTGTAATAGAAAGGAAAATAACTATTATCATACCCCTATTTAAAATTAGAAATTGAGCCCCAGATACATTATACAACTTTCTATCCCTGCTTGTCACTGCTATCTATCAAGTTCAGCCATATTGGCAATATCACTTATTTAATCATCTGTGGTCAGCTGTCTTTTCTGAGAAGCAAATTCAAAATCTCCTTACTTCCAAAAAAGGCTCCCTA